CTCATTTAAAACAAATAATTGTGTGTCATCAGCTAAAAGGTTAAAAGTATCTTCTGATGTTCCAGATGGGTCAAAGTTATTGATACCATCATATTCATCTTCAATATGAAAATATGGTGTAAAGGAAAAGGAGTGGAAAGACATGACTAATATAATTAAATATAAACGGTAAGTGATGAGTAGTAGGTAAGTGATACTAAACATAAATAGTGTTAAAGTATTGAAACATTCAATATAAAGAGAGCGAAAAATATGTTTAATTACCATAATTTCTAATTGCTTAACTCTGCTTTATGCCAAATAAGAGATATCGTTATAATTAAAATTCTCGTTACTATAAAATTTTAATGAAATAACGCTGAGAAAATTATTATTTCATAAAGTCAAAAAAATCAGTTTAAATTCGAAAACTAACAAGTTTGGCCACTATCAAAAAAAAAAGTTATAAGGAACGGAGGAAAAGAAAGTATAAGAAACGAAGAGAGTGAGAAAAAAAAAACTTTAAGCATATGAAAGTGATACACAAATATACATTTAAAATTTAAAGTTTTGTATTAGAACTGATTATCTGATATCAATAAAGTTTATTTACATAACACGTCACGTACTGCGCCAGCACATGTCACGTCTTCTGATTGGATAATAAATAACAATAATTATGTGATCACATGATATAGTGTTGAACACCGCGGTGTAGTTTATAATTCCCGATAATTAATATTTTTATTTTTATTTTATTTTTTCAAATGTATTATAAATAAATTTACTTGTAACTTTATTCAATAATTAAATTATTTGTAATAATTTTAAATATTTTTAAAATAACTTAAAATTAAATATATTATTAATTATTATAAAAAAAGTTAAAATTTAAAACTTATATATTTTGCTATTTATTGATTTCAGAAATATAAAAATTAATAATGTGTGATTAAACTATTTATCATAACTAAACTTTTGCCAAATTTTGTATTTAACTAAATTTTAATTAAAATTAAACCTTTGACTAAATTTTTATTAAATAACTAAATCTAAATTGATATATAAATTTTATTTATCTTTATTAAAAAATATATTATTATTTAATATTTATTAATTTTAATTTTAAATATATAATCAAAAATATTGCTAATTAATATTATAGATAATAATTATTCATATAGTAAACAAAATGTAATAAATAATATTTTATTTATAAAAGATAATTTTTAAAATTTATAGTAAATAAAATATTATTAAAAATTGTGAGTTAAAATTCATAGAAATTAAGTTTTAGTATTTTAATTTTTTAATTATTAATAATTAAATAATTTTAATTTTGTAAAATAATTAAATATTTCAGTTTTAGTTAGTATTATTTATAAAATATAATTATTAATAAGTCTTTATAAGATAAATCTAACAAACTAAATTTTATTTTTTTGTGATCATTATATATTAATAATTATTAATTAAAAAAATTTAAAAATACTATCATTAGATACATCTTAATATAATAAATTTAATAAATGTTATTTTATTTTTTTATGATCATCAGATATTAAAATATTATAATTTTTTATAATCAATTTTATACTTATGATTTAAAGGATGAGTATTATTCTATTTAAATTTTATTAACTGAATGAAGACTGATTGAATTAAATTTTAAATATTACTTTTACATTTTTTTTTACTAAAATAATATTTAAACTTAATAATTTCTTTTTGTAAAATAAATTAAATACTTAGTATATATTAACTATTACTTTTTTTTGAATTCACTTTGTAAGGTTAATTATATTACTTTTCTTTTTCTTATAACTTATTATTATTATTATTTATGATTTAATATCTCCTTTATATATTATCTTTTATTATAATCTTTATTAATAATTATAATTTATTATTATTTATTATTATTATTTATTTTTTAATTTTTTTTTTATTATTTAATAATATTATTTCTACTTTAATATTCTTTTATTTTCTTTATTTTTTTTTTCTTTTAAAACTCTTTTATTCTATTATTTTTTATTTTATCTTTTTTAAGTTTTCCTTTTATTATTTTTTTTTTTTTATCTTTTCTTGTTTATTATTTTCTTTAAATAATATTTTTAATCCTAAATAAATTATAATATAATCTTACCAATTAGTATATGATTATAATAATATATATAATAATAATAATAAATAAAGCTTTGAATAGTTCAGAATAATCTGAAAATTTTCAGTTTAGATTAACTTTGATTCAGTTTCAGATCGCAAAAAATTCAATCTGAAAATTTTCAATTCAGTTTGAATTTTTTTCAGATTATTAATCTAATCTGAACTGAAAAAAATTCGAACTGAACTGAAAATTTCAGATTAATCTAAAATTTTAGATCATTTAGAACGATTGGAAAATTATTTGATTGAAATAATTAAATTATTATTCTAAATAAATGATAAAAGAATTATTCATTTTGGAATGATTGAAGTTATCGTTTCAAATGAATGATAAGAAAATCATTCGAATGAAACAATTAAATTATTATTCTAAAAGAATGATAAAAGAATTGTTTGATTGGAATGATAAAATTATCATTCTAAATGAATAATAAAAGAATCGTTTATTTGAAATGATGAAATTATCATTCTAAATGAATGATAAAAGAATCATTTAATTAGAATGATTAAATTATTGTTCTAAAAGAACAATAAAAAAATCATTTAATTGAAATGATTAAATTGTCATTTCAAATGAATAATAAAAGAATTGTTCATTTGGAATGATTAAAGTTATCATTATAAATGAACAATAAGAAATTATTCGATTAGAATGATAAATTATTATTTTAAAAGAACAATAAAAGAATTGTTCTAAACAATTTGAAATTTTAGATTAATCTGAAATTTTCAGTTCAGTTCAAATTTTTACTGGTTTATAGTTCAGTTCAGTTTCAGATTGGTATTTTTAAGATTTATAATCTGAACTGAACTGAACTGAAATTTTCAGTTTGATTTCAGATTAGCCTATAATTTGAATCGAACTAGACCGTTCAAAGCATTAATAATAAGTATTAATATAACAAAAAGGTTTTATTATTTTACTTATTGATATATTAATATAATAAAGAATTTATCAATATTAATATTATTAAAGTATTTTAATGAAAGAATAATATATATAATTATTATAATATAATTATACTATATAGATTTTATTATCAAGAATAAAAATGTTTATTTTATATTTTAATTCTATTTCTTAATTCTATTTTGATTCTTATTCTATTTTAACTTCTTATTATTATATTATAATTGTCAAGCTTAGTATTTTATAAATATTTGATATTTTATAAGTTTGAGACCTTTAATAAAAGCTATATTTACTTAATGTATTTTTGTTACTCATTATTAAAAGAATTTGTTTTATAAATTAATTTTTATTTGTTTTAGAATTATAATTTGTTTTTTTTATTATTATTTATTATAATTAATATTTCTTATTTTAATTTTTATTAATTTTTTTTTTATTAAATTTCAAAATTTCCTTTTTTATTATTCTCATATTTTATTATAATCATATTTATTTATTCTTTAATATAATTTATCATTTTATTATTTTAGTAATCTTTCTTAATTATTTTTTTTATTTTTTATTTTTCCTATAATTATTCTTTTTTTTTAAATCATTTTTTTTTATATTAAAATATTATTAATTTATTTTCCTATTCTAATTTTTATAGAAAATTATTTTAGACTTTCCGTTCAATTATTTTAAAATTATCTTTTTATTATTATTTATAATATTTCTTGTTTTTATTATTTTTTTATTTTTATATAGTTTATATTTCATTATATTTTACTTATTTTATTGTTTAGTTAAGGTTATAAGGCTTAATAATAATAATAAATATATCAAAAAAATTTTTGATATCTCATATATTTACTTAACTTAATGTGATAATTCAGTTTGCTAATATATTATTTTCTATTGTTTATTCATTAAATTTCTTTCTAGTTTATTATTAAATAAAAGTTTTTATAAATTAATAATAATAATAAATATTCATTATTTCATTTACTAATTATTAATATATAAAGAGGTTTATTAGTATTAATTTTATTAAGATTTATATATCTGAATTAGATTATTTATAATATTCAGATTTATTCTAATAATTATACTAAATTAAATTAAATCTATTATTCTTTTCTAAATATTAAATTTTTGCATAATTTTTTTATATTATTATATACTGTAATTAAAGTTACATGATCAATTGATTTATATTATAAAATTTCTATTTTTATTTATATAAAATTTAATATCAATTAATTTGTAGATTTTTTTTTTTATCTCCTTAATATTTATATTTTTTATTTCTTTTCTTTTTTTATAAATTCTAATTTCCATAATTTTTAATTTTAATCTTTCTTTTAATAATCTTTAATTCTTAATTACATTATCTTTTACTAATATTTTCTATATTATTATGTTATATTTATTTTAATTTTTATTAATATTCTTATAATTTTAAAGTTTAATTCTTATATTATCTTTTATTTTTAACATTTTATTTCAGTACTAATTTTTATTTCTTTTTTAATCCTTCCCTTATTATTTCTTATTTTCTTTCTCATTTATTATTTAAAGATTATTATGTATTTTCATTAACTTAATATAATTATATGTTTTATGATATTATATCATTTTTATTTTTAGATCTTCCTTAGTTTTCAATAATTATTTTTTTATTTCTTCATATTCTTCTAGTTCTTTATATTGAATTTTTCCTTTTCTTCATATTTATATATATATTTATATTTCCTACTTAGTTATTTTTACTAATTTTCTTTTTAGTAATAAAGTTGTATAAGTATTTTATAATTTTATCTTATAAGTTTTTTTTATTTAAAACTTTATATAATATTTATATATATTCTTAGGTTTCTTTTTTTCTTCTTTTATTCTATAAGTTCTTTAACTATTCAATTATTTACTTTTTCAAATTTTATGATTAATTCATTATTCATATTATATTTATCATTATTTATTATGTAATCTATTATATTCTGTATAATTAAGTTTTATACAGTAGCGGTCATAAGTATCCGACTGCTCGAGATCGTCCAAAATTATTATATAACTACCCCTTAAATTTTCCAGAAATATAATA